TATAAAGGCGAAGTCGTCGAGTTTTTCTACGACATCACCTCGATGACGTTGCCCCGCATGGGGAGAAGAGAGGCAACGTCAAATATACCGAAATATACCGCTAGGTATACATTACCGTACCATATCGAACAAATCTCAAAACTCCGGTATGGTACGAAACTTCAATCCTTGCTATCTGTTTTATGATTTCTCCATCGTATGCATTTCTTCACCAAGAGAAGAGGCAATCTGCTTTGTCACAAATGCTTTCTCTGTAAAGTAAGTGATTATCCATCTAATGTGCAATGTACATGCTGAAATCTAGACCCATATAACTTGTCAAAGAGATCTTTTGAATAATAGAAGTTGCATAATAACAGATTACCAATAGGCTGCAAAGTACAGATTTGAATTTACAATATACAAGAATACAGCTCTGAATGCTCAATAAAAGGAAAGAATGAGACATAAAATTCAGAACATACAGTCATAATTCATCAGATAATGCGCAAAGTACCTAGCTTCTTCAAATGCATTGGCAGAATAGCCAAATACAAATGTGTCAATGAATTACTTCATATGACCAGTCTACCATAACAAAACAGGAAAATCATCCTCTGTCTACACCATCATAGCAAACGAACTTGCTCATGTGCTATCCAATAAAAGCTTAGGAAGTTCAAGGTGGCACAATTTGTATAGCACTATAGTAGTGGGACCAAGGCATTTATAAATCCAAGGATATTGTACACATAGCAACATTAACAGAACTAGAACTAGGGAAAAGGACATTGAAGTTGGGCGAATATAAGGGCAGAACTTGGTACGACGTTAAGGTTGCTCCTTTGCGACTTGGGTGTGAGTTACGGAAACAGCCTCTCTATAGAGTTACAGCTAAATACATTGATCCTCCCCAGACCTCACAATGGCTAGTCTTGTGTACCGGGTACACCATTTTTAAGTTGAGTGAATATCCATGTTACTAACTTAAACTTCAATATTCTTATGGGAGATTGTAGCAAACCAAAAAAATTCATCTATCCTCTTCCGTGCACCAAAGAGGAATGGACTAAAAGATTACGTTATGAAGTACATTTAAAATGATTAATATCATAAATGGATGTTCCAATAATTACCTGCACAACAACACCACCTTCTGAACCTCCTTCTTCTCTAATGATGCTAAATATCTTCTCAAATGCACCTTCGAACACCACAATTTTTTGAATCTCCTGAAGATCAAAAGCTCATTAAGAGAAGCTAGTAGCATACTTGGGAATCATAATTCAACTAATAAATCATCCGAGTGAAGATTTACCTCTGCCTCACGAGTTAAATAAGTAAGAAGAAGTAAGGCTTCATTTCTTATAACCTATCATAAAGACAGAACCATCATGTCAAAAAAAAAAAAAGTAAACGGAATTGGTTCAAAATGATACACATAATAGAGAGAAATAACATATTTGAATGACCAATGTTCTAAAAAATAACACCGTATGCAAGTGGTTGATGTCCCACATAGCACATAGCAGGCATATATGCTATATATATTGACACATTGGAAATATATAACCAAATAAGCAAAGAACTTATGCATGGTATTAAGTTACAAGATACATGCAAAGGAGTACTTGATTAAAATCCTATGAGCAAATTTATACTATTAAAATAATATATGAATAAATATAATAACACTAAAGAAGAAACCTAGACCACATATGATGAGCAAATACTTCAATTGACGTGGACACTCATATGCAACTGCATATACATGGCAATGCAGATTGCTTCAGCAATAGCAGCTGCCTGCATCTGTGCAGCCACATATATGGCTGCATAGAGTGCATGCAGTAAGACCGCATACTGACCAACAAAGCAACAATATGCAATCACGTATGCAGCCACATAGACGACATTTTAGAACATTGTAACATAATGACACTTGCGCATAATTTCCAATAAACATATGTGTCCAAGATAGAGTTCATACAAGATCAATGTATTTAGACTAGCCAAAACTTAAATAACAAGCACAAAAATGAAGGGCATGTGAGTTGTGAGAAATGTAAACCAAAAGAGCTAATTGCATATTGTAGTCATAGTCAAGTTGCAAGCATCATATAGGGCCAAATAATAATTAATGTGGTTATATCTAAGGAAAAATTGTTTGTCAGAAAGAAATTTTATCCTAATTATGTCATCTATGCTGTTTCTTGTATATGAGGTAACTACTTGAATAAGATCTTCAAATAAATACAAAATTGTTAAGCTATGAAAAGAAAAGAGAATACTGATTTAAAGTAAAATATTGCCTATGATGTTGAATCTCAGTAATTATCGCCTTTTGCAAGATTTTAAATACTGCTAATGGAACCCTCCACTGGAATTTTATCACACAGGTATATTACAAAACAATCCAATTAAAAATACCAAACTTTGTTTATTATGTCGGTAAATACTAAACTATCTACTATGTTGGGACCCACAAACATAGTACATATATACCAAATATATGCTATTTTACCAAGACAGTTTGTACAGCATCCAACAAAATCGAGAACAATGATCCTAAAAATTGTGCATAATTTCATGTCAAAATGAAGGCACTACTACTATTAGTTTAGTAGTAGCTGTTGCTGCAACAGCAGTAGCAGCAATTGTACAAATACTATTAACTTGGATTGAAATGGTGGAATTCTAACCTCACGATCCATAAGCATATCCATTAACCTAGTTATACCACGAGGAATCGAGAGAATTGCTTCCTGTAATCTGAGGCAATAAGCAAAACAACCTAAGATAAGAAATGTAACCTAAGATCAACTCAAAAGGACATAAGAAAAAGATGACAGCGATTCAGTATGCATGAATACCTATTAGGTGAATGTGTAAGAAGTGCAGTTATAATCTGAAGTGTGTAATATCTAACATAAAAGTCATCTTCTGACTGCAAAAAAGAAGAAAAAGAGAAATTAAAATGTTATCAAAAAAATACTGTGTAAACAAGAGGAAACACTTACCAACAAACTGAGAAGAAGAGAAATGCTCTCTGATTCTCGAGAAAGCAGATCAGAATTCACTAAAGCTGGCTGAACCTCAGTTTTCAGCACAGATGCAGTTTCTGTTGGAGTCAAGGCACTTACAATAGTTTCTAATGCACCTCTTATCAGTTCAACATCATCACGTTCTTCCTTTAAAACATTTAGAAGAACAGGAAATCCTGTTTAAATAAGGAACACAAATTAAAACTTATTTGAACAAGAAAACATAATATATTACCAAACCAATACAAAGCAGGTACCTGTAGCCCCAAAAGACATCTGAGCTGCACGGCTTTCTGCAACAAGAGACTGAAGTTCAATCATAGCTGCTCGCCTATCTTCAGCTAGTACACCATTGCTTATACGATCGAGATATCGTTCGACGTAGCTATTAAAAAAATACAGCATTGATACATGATAAAACTGAGAAGATATTCAAGAAACATTTACTAGAAGCAATGATCTTTCAGAATTTTAAGGCTGAGGCTTGAGACCATGGTAAGGATGCCCCTGGGCAACCTAGTTGTCAAGGGTTCAAGCCACAAAAATGACCTCTCCATTTATGAAGTTAAACTACATACATCAACATGTGCAATAGTGAAATTAATGGGGCTGTGATATCATAAGATAAGAAGAAATATTATCTTGTGTGCATGCTTAGTTTTAAAGATCATTTACATAAATGATACCTAAAATCCCTCTCTCAAATCAGATTGAAGATAGCACAAATCCTGAGGGTAACAACTATATGTCACACAGATCCAACATGTGCATCAGAATGCTGAGTTAACTCCCAAGTTAATGGAGAAGTGTACTTAGGTCAGTGGCAGAGAGCTGGCAATGTTCCATAACAAGTTATTTATCAAAGCTATCATTCTGCAGGAGAGTGTGCTTAAAAACAGTAGGATTACTGATTTCCAGCTTAAAGATCATCTCGAGTGCATACCTAGTTTTAAAGATCATCAACATAAATGGTACCAAAAATCCCTTTCTCAAATCAGATTGAAGATAGTACAAATCCTGAGGGCAACAACTATATTTCACACAGATCCAACATGTACATCAGAAATGCTGAGTTAACTCCCAAGTTAGTGGATAAGAGTACATATGTCAGTGGCAGAGAGCTGGCGATGGTCCATGATGGGTTACTGATCAAAGCCCTCAGTCTGCAAGAGAGTGTGCGTAAAAACAGTAGGACTACTCATTCTGGTTTTAAGGCATCCACTAACCACAACCGGCCTTTTGCTAAAAACTCACCAAAAATTATCACAAAATTCTGCACAAGTTCAATCTGTCCTATAATTAAAGCCCTCCTGTAAGAAAAATGGTCCAGCACATCAGAATGGCATATCAAAATTATGCTGACCAATCTACAAAGGCTGAATCTGAGATCTGAAAGTAGCTTAACTTCAAGAATATCAGAATCAAACTGAGTGATTGAATTAAAATTTTCATGAGCTTCTGAAGTCACAAGTTTTTGTTACATCAAAAACTCAATTATTCAAGATTCTTTCTTGCATTATCAAATTCCTAAGGAATAGCCAACAATTTTCATTTTTTTTTTCAAACAACATGAATTATCTTTTACATTAGTGAGCAAGATAATAATTGTCAACATATTAAAATATGTATTGCTCTGGCATGCACAAGTTGCAAATTGCTTCATCGTATAGAGTATCAACCGAAGCAGTTAATTACCATAGATATGCTCAATTAGCATCAGTATTAAACAAAAAGGAATTGGGTGCAAACCATAAATTTGACTAATAAGTAAAGCATGCTTATACCTATCTTCATTTGAAGCAGAGTTCTCATTTCCAAAAACAAATCCACCAACACCCTGTATGCAAATTGTCATCACTTAGAAATAACAACAGGTTTACCTATAACTAAATCAATCAATATTGTTAGCCATTATAAGAGGTCAAGATAATTCAGCAAAGCTGAAATAATATGAAACATTCAATTCATGTGCAAGTTATTCATGTCTATCAATATATCATTGTCAAGTATTTTGAGGTCAATTATGACAGTTTCCCATCAGTAAAATGTATATATGTACTAGGATTATCTGGATCTAGCATGAAAAGCCAACTTATCTTGGAAATCAAAGAGCATACAAGCAACTCTAGAAAAATTAACAAAATTTACCTATTAACTAGACAAATATTTATTGTTAATTAATTACAAGAGATCAAGATAGTTTAACAAAACTGAGAGCACATAAAATAAAACACTCGAGTCACTGTGCAAGTCACCTTCATGTTCTTCAACAGATTGTTGTCAAGCAAATTGAGGTTAATTAAGACAGCTGTCGATTAGTAGATGTATATATGTAAGATTATCTAGACCTATCAAGAAATGCCAACTTATTTAGGTAATGAGCATATGAGCAACCTTGAGAGTTCATCTTTCCACCTTTACCAATAATCATTAGCAAATACTACACTGACCAGGAAGAATTCTATAAAAATACAGTCCAAATTTCACGTAGATCCTCCTAAAGCTTAAATATTTAATACAAATAATGAATCATGACCAAAATAAAATTGATCAAGTATATTCCATAAGAAGAGAAATCTAACAGGAAAGGACTAATTATCCTCAGGACAACTGCCTCAAACAATTCAATCCTCATTTGCTGCCAGGATACCTAAAAACTACCAAAACCTAATATTGTTAATTCAGAGTTGTTTTACCACATTAAATGCTAAGAAGTCATTTCACTTATATAAGATATAGCCTTCAAAGAAAAATATTAAAAGGTCAAACTTGAAATAGATTTTTAAGCATCAGCATGAGTAAGCTCTTTAATGATAACATGAATGTGCTTTGACATATACAACTCAAAGTCAAAAAAAACCTATCAGTGCACTCCCAGTGAATTACAACTGATGTTAACCTATATAAACTGTAGTCACTCACCCTTTCTATTGCTTACTGGCTTGTAATTAGCATGACAAGGACAAGGTTCAAAACAACAACGTTCCAGATGGTGAACATTACATGATAAGTTAACTTTATTACTTGATCAGTAATATAATCCATGCACTTCCATCTTAACGTAATTCAAGTAAAATACCTGAAATCGTAAGCAAATAGCATATGAGAAGAGTCCTAAATAATCATCGTCTTGGCCATTCTGTAGCATCACAGACTAATGATGGAATAGTGCCAGACAAGAGACTTCTAAATTATTGCTACCTTTAGATCATTTCTCGAACATAATAAGATTAGAGCTCAAGCCAATAATCACCAATTATAAATACTCTATTGATCCCAATGTTATAAAGCATGTAGATACCATTAGGAGTTGTAAGAGTTGTAATAGCATTTCTATTGAGGGGAACAGACTTTATCCTTTTTTTTCCTTTTTTCTTCTTTCTGAGGAAATAGCATTCATTAAGTTTTCAGAGAAACAGCAACCCTTTCTGTTGCTAGATAACTACTCAAGGAAAAAAAAATTAGTGAGATGAGGAAATTAGGATATTTGAATCTGTTTCTCAGAATTCGATTGATATTGGAAGCATTACATATCATCTCCTACAATAAAAGGAAATTATTATTGCAGTGACTTCTCAGAGAACTTCCAGAAAGTCGTTTTTAAGCTTGATTTTGCGGGTAATAGACATCACACCTAGTACTTGTTTGAATTGAAGTGTAGCATGTCCAATCAGTCAAACCTCACAAATGCACTAGCATAATGCTAGTTCATCCCTGCTGAAGTGTCAAAGCCTGTACATGTCATAAACTAAATTTTCCACTTTTAGTTGGCATTATAATAGTATTAATCTTTCTAGTAAAGGGAAATTTAGCAGTGGAAAGTAGGGAAAGGAGAAATAGGTCTCGTTGTTCAAGTCCATTAAAGCATTCACCTAAACCATAAAATATGTTTTCGGAAAACGAGAGGAAAGGAATTGCATCGTGCGCGAGAGATACCTGTGCAACGGCATTCAGATTGAGACGGCCCAACTTAAAATCCATCCCGAATTCCTTCAATCAGTCTAAGCAAGCTTCCTCCTGGCTGATACGACGTATCCTGGACAGCCACGCCCTAATCTTGATTTGAAAACGTTTCCAGCCAAGGGCGAGAAGAACACAAACCCTAGAATAGATCAAACCGAACTCCGCGCGACCGATCCGAAAGGATGTAACTGAAACCACGAACACGACGAGGAAGAACCGAATCAAGAAAAGAAAAAACGTGATCTTGGGTAGTGGAAGCGGACCAGGGAGGAAACAAATAAAAGATTTCGATGCAATTGTTCTTGTTTTGGGGATCCAAACCTAAGATCGAGAAAATACTTCCGACGCAGAGGGGGGAGGAGGCAAGGACGAGGAACGGTCCCCTTCGAAGCAAGCAATCGGGCAAGCGTGTCCCGATGACGACGACGGCGACGGAGGAGGAGACGAGAGGCCGATTCACATTACAGTTCACGTTTATGGGTTATTTTTATCATAAAACATAATTACTTTTGTACTCGTTGGTACGTTGCTCTTTTTCTACCTGAGATGTTATTGGAGGATCGTATGGGTCCCGGTGCCAAAGGAGGTAACATGCGGTTGAAATATGTTTCTCGGCCAGAGTGGCTCACCGGCTAGCATCATACGTTAAAAAAATGAAAAAAGAAAGGTTACGCAACCCGCCCGTCTACCCTTTCTGTGATTCGACGATGCGGTCGAGTCGGTCTCTGGCCCACTTGAGAAGCTAATAGCAATTTTGCTTGGAAAAATCATGCCAACCGAACCCAAATAGTTGTGCACAAAATCCGAATCCGAATCTAAAATACGACTTCTAACTCGAACTCATCCAAAATCCGCTTGAAGAATATCCCAACTTGATTCATCATATCAAGAGGAAAGACAGCAAAGTTTCATTATACTCGGATCAGAATCAAACTTGACTATTACCTGAGTTCGATTCAAGTATTTATTTTTTTCCCAAACTTACCTAAATCAATTAAAGTGAATTTAATCCGATTTAAGCTGATCAGATAGATTCGATTACATAAGAAAATTTTGTTCTTTACCATCCTTACCAAGCAAAAGAAAGTTGAAGGCAATTAAGCCATTAATGGGCAAGAAAAGCATTTTAGCTAAATAATTAATTGTTTAACGAAGAAGAGAATCTAGTTCTAAATCAAGTTGAGATATTCTTACAATCATATGCTCCTATCTTTATAAATGATTACATGTTTCTAAATCAACTTTTTTCTCCTTTATTATTATACAAATTTAAAGATGAGAACCTTCAAGATAGGAGCGCATTGCGGTAACAACCTTACAGAACACTGGCTTGAGAGATGTCAGATTCAACAATCCACAACCACCACAACAAAGAATTTTAGCTGTGGTATTTATGGGTATTGTGCCATTACAAGTCTATAAATGTCTATTTAATAACAGATGTTGATAAACTTCTCAGTTCAGCACATGAGTATCAAGTTTACAAAATTGAAAGATGCGCCTGAATGAGAGAAATTATGACCAAAATGAATTCATGTTGATCTGTACTGGTCGCCACAGTCACCGATTACTTCAAGCAAATTCTTCCCTTTCCTCGATACTTAGCTAATGCAATTCATGTCTTCTTCATCCAATGCAAGCGAGAATAAGGCATTTGGGTCTTGAATATGCTCTGAAGGGCCAAGTCTAACACCAACCATGGATCCACCAACTGATGGCTACTCAATGAAATTAGAACAAAGCAAGGAAAAGATGGCACAGATTAGTTACCAAATTACCAAAACCTAAGAAATGAATCTTGTGTATCTGTTGATACATTGGTGTTTTACCTGATTCAGTATGTATCACACAGCAACAGTCGGAAATGAATCTTGTGTAGCTGTTGATACATTGGTGTTTTACCTGATTCAGTATGTATCTCACAGCAACAGTCGGAATTGAGACCCCATGTTTGGAAGCCACCTTCTTCATAGTTTGAAGCTAAGTTTGGAAAAGAGTCCATCCTCCCCAAGCATCAACCATCTGTCAGATTTGAAAGAGAATGTGTCCAAGAACCTGTGAATAGTTCACAATTTTCAACTGTGAAGTGTGATGAGGGAACAATATATGCACAGCATACCCTTTTGTGCTTTTGCAAAGAGGGAGTATTCAGAAAGGAGGACCAACGAAACGAATTGACAAATTGGTATTCAGAAACTTCTCTGACAATAGATCGCCCATTACAGTCCCATATCTGCACCTTAAAAATCTCAGAGCTCTACCAAAAATATTATGTGTGCATATGAGAATGAGTGTCTCTGTGTGTGTGTCAGAGAGAGAGAGAGAGACGTTATTAGCTTCACGCCTTTTAGCTGACAGAGTTCTGCCATTCTTTGCTGAGGACGAATGTCTACCACAGAATTTTTCACCTAGAACACCGACTCATATTGTAATAGAAGAAGTAACAATGATATTTTTCTTCATTTAACACAAAGAAGATGTTACCTGATTACTAACTATTTGAATTCCATTTTCAAGTATTGTATGCAACCATTCAGTATCAAAATTTGTCAAAGCCAGAGTCTTAATTTTACCTGCACATTTTCAGCATCAGAACATGTTCAGGTCAGGAGCTTTTAGATGGTCATACCAGAGAATGTTAATTTCAAAATATGAAAATTTCAAAATCTTTAAATCATTAAGATTTAAATACAAACCTTCCTCTTTCAGATCAGTTAGGTGTTTTAAGGCATCAAGGTATGCAGGCTTAGAATAATCCCACCTGTTATTTTTAAAAAAGGAAAAACCAATCAAATGATATTAGCTTGGAGTAATGTACAACGGCAGGACCTTAATTAAATGAACCTTTACTGAATTGTGCATAATAAAAAATCCTATGCAAGAGTCTGACTCTAACTTATCGTCAGACTTTTGTTTAGCTCTTTATCTAAAGAAAATTTTGCTTCTTTGATTGACATGCTAAGGTTTAAGCATGTGCACTAGTTAAAGTGTAATCATGGGAAAAGTCCAAATTATCCTTCATTCAACTGTACGACCACAATGACTTAGAGCTTCTGTCTATCTGTCTGTATTTGTCGATCCTTATGATGCACGATAACGTGCTAAAAAAAAGCCAATTTTCATTTTGAATTTCTTATAATGGATATGGTGCAAATTATATAGATCCAATAAAAATAACATGCTCAAGAGCAATTTTATGATTAAAAGGTTAGGTTAGTTACTAATCACAAATCTTTCAGAATTTTCTAGATTAAGGCAAAAACTATATTGTTAAATTTTGCCTTTTTATGATTAGTTGAGCTTCAACCTGTTTTATACATCACAATATACTAATTGACATGAACAGAGCATTGAATGCCTCGAGCATGCCAAGAGCAAGTTGGAGAACCCAGGAAATTTCATTCGTCCTGTGATCTGTACGTGATATTCAAAAAGAGGTTGTCTACTTAGTGAGATAAGAAAGAAATTACATTCGTTCGGAATAAAAAGCATATAAAGAATTATACAGACTAAACAGGAATTAGAACTTCCCATTGTTCAAATGAAAAATGAGATGACAGCAGGGTAAATAGCATCACATAAACAAGAAGATAAAGATTCACCAACCGAGACTATTATAGAGAAATGTGACTAACCCCCTGATCTCCTCAAGCAGCTCCGGAGGGCGCTCCCGACGAACTCTATTGACGAAAATACTGTACAAATCCTCTGCAGGCCCATCTGCCAAACCAAACGCCTGTCAAGATGCAACTTTTCATTGATTAATACAACTACACGAGCCTATTGTAGCTCTTTTTGTCATAAGTAGTGGAGATGACGGGATCGTTTACAGTGGTCGGCCATGTCGACGGTGGTGAAGCCGGCGTCGGCATAGCGAAGCATGGCCTCGATGACATCATCGCGGTCCACGCGGCCCCAAGCTTGTCTTCTCTCCCACCTCTGCTTCGGCGCTCAAGCACCGGATCCCACAGCCCTACGATTCGCAGCCGATCGGAGAAGACCAACACGGCAATGATGTCAAATGTGGGTGAGGGCACGTTCAAGGGCCTCAGTGGCCACCACAAGGACACCACGAAAGGGGGCGATTGCAAGAGACGGAGGCGATCACGATACAATAGAGGTAAAGATGACTCGAAAGGAACGTTCGATGGAAATAAAAGTAAAAGAATAAAAAAAGAATATTTTGCGAAAAATAATGGAAACTGAGAGCTTTTTGTTTTATCCGTAGGATTATTAACGGGTCATTGAGACTCATTCGGGTCGGACATGAGGCTCATTCGGACCGACCCGATAAATTGGATGGCTCGGACGAGAATTCTTCTTCCGTAGAGGCCATTTTGGACATTGAGTTCCTCGCCCAGCCCCCACGCCACCGGCCAGGGTGGCGACCGAGGACGAGAAGACGAAGAGGAGGAAGACCCCCAAATCTACTTGAAACTGTTGCTGATTCGTCACCAATAGATGCAGAGTAGAGGAGCCGAAGCAACGGATCGCAGGTTTTCGAAGACATCTCGACCTTCCCTTTTGTTTGATCAATCGATTATTTCTTTGTTTGTTCGTCTTTCCAAATCGGATTCTTGTTCTTCTGAATTTGGCTGTGGAGCGGTTTATATGATTCCCTCGTTCGGTTGACTACGGTTTTGGTGTTAAAGGTAGCTCTTTTTAGTTGCTCGCTAGGTGTGGATTGCCTGCCTGAATCTCCGTAGCGTTCTTGTGGTGGAGTTGGCGGGTTTTGAGTCTATGCCACCGATTTGTCTGGAAATCGCATGAATTTTGCTCCATATTTTTTGTTGTATTAGTTACTGGACCATGAATTGGGTGAATCAGTGAAAAAGATCTGAGGCTACATGACTAGACTTTCTCGGTATACCGAGAATGATCCAAGCAAATGAACGACGGCGAGTAATTTCTCATGCCTGAGGCCGGTCAATCATGATAGCGTGTTCAACCATGCCAAGGGTGTTCGGTACGAGGGCAAGATCTGCATCTCCTCGACTTACTTCAGCCATAGGTCTTTGTTAGTGAATCGAACCGTACTGAAGAATGAAAGTTTATTATGATTACAAGTTGTGATGATGGCAATGGATGTTTGTTGCTTATCTTATCATTTGCTTGCTTATTGTTAAGTCCACAAAATCAAGTAATTCTGGTGTTTGGTAAGATTTTGTCTTTTGCTTTTATCTGATTTGCTTGTGCTGATTGTCGAACGTCTGAATTGCAGGAAAAGAATACTTTTTAGGAGATTTCGGGCCTGGCATTGATTCAGTTATCTCTGAGAGGCACCATGGGTGACTCAACAGCGATGACCATCGAGTTCCTTCGTGCCAGATTACTATCTGAGAGGACAGTTTCTAAAGCTGCAAAGGAAAGAGCTGACCAATTGGCTAAAAGGGTCAGCGATATATTCTTGTTATATATTGTCACAGTTGATTTGCTTAGTGTGTTTCGTTGATTAATTTGGATTTGGTTATGTTTTGTGTTCAGGTGACGGAGTTAGAGGAGCGGCTTAGGGTCATGACTATCCAGAGGAGGAAGGCAGAACAGGCGGCAGTGGATGCCATCTCCATTCTAGAAACTCATGGGATTAATGATCTATTTGAGGAAATTGATTCTAGCTCTGACAAAGATGAAAGTCCTTGTGGTGAGGAAGGGTGCGAGGAAGCTTCTAAAGAAGATGAAGTCTGTACAGCCTCGAAAGTGGAAAGGATGGTAGTTGAAGATGCACAATCGAGTTCTGAACTTGAGGTTTCCTTCTCCCAAGCTAGGAGCTTATCATGGAGAAGCCGCAGTAGTAGTCCAGATTCTGCTAGAAAGCTAAAAGGAAAGCATTTCAGACAAAGGCAGAGACGAATGAGTTTGATGTCACCTGTTGAATCTTCCCCAAAATATAACTTGGGAAAATCATGTCGCAAAATAAAACAGAAAGAAATGGGGTATTTTCGATGTCCTTCCTTCTCCTTCTCTAGTGACTATCGTTAGATGTGTTCATTATGTTCCTTTATTTTAACTGTGACAACAATGGTTTTGTAGTACCAGATCAACTACTGAGGAAAAGGGAGATGATTTTGTAATTATTGGTAACAGCCTACCTGGATTACCTGTGATTGTTTCTGGAAGTCAGTCATCTTTTGTGACTGTCCAAAAGCAAGAAGTTGATGCAATTGGGAGCGAAAGAGACAAAGAGATGGAGAGAGTTCTAGAGCAGCAAGCCCAGCTCATAGGTCAGTACGAAGCAGAGGAGAAAGCACAGAGAGAATGGGAAAAGAAATACAATGAGAACAAATGTTCAAATCCGGTATGTGACTTTCATAACAGATTCTATTTTTGACAGCCAAGTATATGTGCTCTCAAATAAAACCAGGAAAGATGGACTGCCGTGATCATATATCTGTAGTATGAAGTTGGGAATTTGATGGATCTCTTTGCAGTCTATCCAACTAGTACTAACTATTTATCGTTGCATTGTCTAGTCCATTTTGCACCTGCACAATTGCTTTGTTGATACCACTTCTTGGTATTTGATTCACCTCGTATTTGAACTAGGAAATGTGAATAGACTCTTTTCAAAAACTTGCTGCATGTGATATACAAGGCATGTTTTAGACTAAAAGCCTGACCCCACTATGCATAGCAAATTTTTGCTTAGAATTTAGTCTTCCTGACTACAGTTTCTTCATTCTCCTGTTACTACACACACACACACATATTCAGACCACAAGTGCAAGTGGTAGCCAAGTTTGTCTGACAGCCGGAGTACTCTTTGATTTGTAATCTTCCTGAATATATATTTTTAATCAAATGGTATACATTAATTTATCTTTTTTTATTGTATTTTTATCTCAATTTTCAGGATTACTCTGAATCTGAGAAGCAGTGTCATGTAGCTGTAGTCAATAGTGAGTCCCAGAAAGATTCACTTGCAGTTCCTGAGAAAATACCATATGAAGATGAGGAGCCAAAATCAGATGTTCTCTCTGGGACCAAGGAACCTGGATGTCTATCTGATGATATTGTGCTTAAATTATCAGATAGTGCAAATCAAGGAACCATTGATGGAGGCCAAGATGCAAATGTTGTGCAATCCTCCAATGCCTTTGTGTCAACTGATCTACCTAGAACTAGAAGTGGAAGTAATTCTCAGGCTTTTGTGGAGGGCTTGACGGATCAAGTAGCGCATCATGTGGCGGTCACTGACAGTGAAGCTTGTCTGGTTGAGGTTGCATTTCCTGCCAAAGTAAGCACTGTTGTGAGCTCGTTTGAAAAGCAAAACCAAGGTTTAATTTATGATAAATCTGACAGTGGCTCTAGTAACAATATCAATATGCAAGCACATAGCCAAATGAATTCACCATTAAATGGAAGCCCTTCTACTGCTAATTCCGAAAGGGAGACACCTAAATGGGAATTAGCAGGCACTCAGGATCCATTGTACGAGAGACCAACTCAGTCAGCTGGCAGCAGTAGCTTGGGGGGTGTTCTGGAAGCTCTTCAGCGTGCCAAGATATCCTTAAAACAAGAGCTCTATCAGTCGCCCTTGCCAGGGAAAGGCACCATGGCTTTACCAGCAGCAAGAAATTACCATACTAAGACTACTTTGTCTGGTGAAACTTTGAAAGTTCCCATTGGGTCTGCTGGCCTGTTTAGATTACCAACTGACACTTTTCCTCCGGCACAAAACTTGCAAAGGAAACTTTATGGTTCAGGGTTAAGTTTGACGACTGGTTATCCTCATCTTGGATATGCCTTCACTACTGCTGACGGTCATCCGTCAACTGTCCCTGAAGCTGGGTCCAAGAATTCGATGGGTAAATTGAATTTTGGTAATTACCGTCCAGGTATGGACCTTCCTACTTCATTCAGGTACTCGCTACCATACTCAGGTTCGACAGAAGATAGGATACCGGTTCCAAATGAAGCTGAGATTTCACTAGGAAAGCAACATTTCAACACTTACTCTTATGAAGTGGGAATTCCTGCTTTCAGCAGGTATTCCCTGCCTGCAAATGAGGCGACAGATGGAACACCCTTCCCAAACAGATCTGGAGGCTCTGTGCACCAGCAGTATTTTGATTCCTACCATCCTGGCATTGAAGAGCCTGCTGCGAGAAGGTATTCCCTTCCATACTCAGACTTGACAAGAGATAGAACAATTCTTCGTGATGGCGTTTCAGAACCTCACACCGATATAAGAAACCAAATGCCTCCTCGAGACCGGTACTCTTTATATGGCGGCAACGGGACACGATCCAGTATGCAGATACTGTAGTACCTTTTGTAGTATGTAATTCATTTTCCCTATATGTATCCATTTGCAAATTAGGATGATATCTGAAGTTGATATTATATGCTCCTGTGGCATACTTGATGTATTCGATACTAGATGGTTTTGGTGTTTAATGTGAAATATTGTTGCCTCTTCTTTTTGCACTTCAATGTTGGGTAGACATGGAAATATTTCAAGGCTATGACATATTTTAGTATCTGTTATTGGATTAATTGATAAACAAAACAAATAAATGAGTGGCAACTTTGCTCAAGCATTTTGGCATCAGTTGAGGCCCACTGATCTGAGAGGATCTTAAACTCTGTTCTTAAACAAGGGCATGCTATTCTTTGGTGTCGTCGATGTACCTGGTCTTGTGGATGGGAGAATTCATTCTTCATGCATCTGCTATAATGCAGAATCAAGTCTTAAGCCTCTCTTAAAAGTATTTACCATGCCAATCTTTATGTTGTTTTGCCTTGATATAATACCTTGTTTTTTATGTTTTTTGAACCCTTGGGGATTTGATTTTTCTACCTTGAATATTCTTTCAAGATAGAGCATTACAAGCACCTCAATTCGAAACATATTTGTTTCAGAATTAGGTTGAGCAGTAGCACATAAAATGAGAAGATTTTAGCAACCATTGGACTTTGTCTTGAGTATCAGACTCTCATGTACTTGCTCATGGAAGAAAGTATGTTCATTAAATGTTAACCCTATGTCAAGATTATGAGCAAGTTACAATGTTTGAATTCCACACTGTGAGGCATGGTATGATCCTTGTAGCTCCTTCATGATGTGCTTAAAACTCTGCAAGAAATGTTGGCTTGTTATTAATATCCGAAGAACTCTCGATTTTAAGTTGAGATATTGTGATAAAGTGTTGTGAGATCAGTTATTGCTTGTACAAAATAAACAAAGCCAACCATTTATTTTGTAACTGAGTCAGCTTGACATGGAAGTGAAAATTGCATGTGTAGCCAAAAATAAAAAAGTGTGTCTAATGGTGAGATGGTTCCTTTGCAATAAGGGATAATAAATTTGAACTTATGAAATATACACTTTAGAGATTTAAATAACTTCTAACTCAAAACAAGCTAATATTAACTGTAATTGATCATGTTTAACCTGAGTTAATGGGATCTATATGCAAAGGATTTTAAAAAGTATACCAATCAAATTCATAAAACAAATAAAGAATCATCCCATTTATAATTATACTGCATATACCCACTCTTATCGTCAAACATCGTGAAATTGTGGTGAAGATAGGGAAAACCAACACATATCCGAGTACAATTTATGCACAGAAATTGAAGGCATTAGAATCCTAGTCCTTCTCTCCCATTTCCTTAGACAAACAATGGCCACCATGAAGTTAGCAAGAACAGACAGATATCAACTCCAATATCAGCGTGGCTTAAGTGAGATCGTCTTCCTCTTCTTCCTTTGCTTTAATGGCATTCTTCACTCTCAGTAGAAGCATGGTTTTCCAAGGATCCTGAAGTTGATCGAGACGGTATCAACAGAAACATTGCGCAAGTTTAATCAAGTTAACGGTATGCCTATCAGATACAGGAAGCAGGCACAAGTACTGAACAAATATGTCCCATATATGACAATTATGTGCATCATTGCTGCCTTGATAACAATTTCAGATGAATAAAGCTGCACAGAACCTTTTCTTTTTAGTTATGGAAAAGTTAGCCTCGATATGAGAAAGCTTCTTTATGATGGGAAGGGAAACTGGTATATCCAAAAAGAGATCCAGTGGGTGATCAAAATCCATGGTTACCGGGGTTAATCAGCATTTTGACCTAGTAAACAAAAGATTTTGAAATCTCAAGGTACAAAGACTGATCATAGAAAGGAAGGAATAAAGATTAGAATAAGCTTTCAAATTGTGTTTTGAAGAACTAACAGAGAAAAAAATAACCTGTAGTAAGAAAGGTTTTTTGGTGTAAAATTAGGGCTTTTGATATGATATGGAATTAAATGACATATATGTTGGAATGTCAGCACTGTTCGGTGATTCGATCAGAAATATCAAGATTATGGTTGAACATCGACCTAAAGGAGCAAGCCATGAGGGCTAAATTTCAGTTCTAAGAAACCAAGGCAAGGCTGTCATAGTTAGCAAGTAACTAGCTTAATATGTTCTTTGGGCATGTAATTGAGAAGAAATTTAATACATTTATTACATATATAATATTTATTGTCAATTTTAGCAATGAAATAAATTATATCAAGTTAACAATTTAATGCATTGTCAATTAGAAGTTCATGCTGTTATATCAGTTCCATAGATAAATCAGAAGTTATGGCTCATATCTCGTTCATGGATGCTCAAGTGCATTGCATGGAATCAATATCAAAAGGCAAAAAACAATACCAGCCGGGTCATGCTATCATATTCTTGGAGAGCATCAGTAAATTTCACAACATCTCCCTCATCCATTGAATCTGCTAGATCCTGCAATGAAGGTGCTAATATTTTGAGAGATGTTCCTGCCAAGATATGATGATCTAGTTTGTAGTTCATATATTTCATCAAGAGGATAGCTTTACAGCGACTTTTTAACATACAAAAATGTGTGAACAGATGCATAGAGATGACTCATGATAGACAAGTAGCTTAAAGAAAGAGAAAGAGGACAAAGAAAAATTAATTAACAGCATCTGAGCTAACATATGACAAATTATAACATAGAGATCAATGAACAAATTAGCTCTTGACTTCAACTTTAGATCCTTGACAGAATATCTACTACCATTTAACATGCAAGTTCATAAAGTTATCCAGTAGACAATTAAGATGAAGATTCTCAAATGATGGATTGTTTGTGAAGTTCTTGAGCAAGATAATATGTCATGTTATTTCTTTACATTTTCATTAGTTTTTATGGTCGTTTTATATTCTTTTTTATAGATTTAGCTTTCAGCAAAAATGTCAAAACCACACACTTAGATGCCTTATACACATTACTTAATCTCCATATATTTTACATATCTTTCATTTTTATCGCACAAATTGAAAAAAAATCCAAATTGTTAAGTTTGATACTCTCGACTCATCAGGATACAGGCTTGAAACGGAGAACGTGCACTCTTCTTGCAAACATGATTATTGGTCAAATCAGACTAGAAAGGGAATTAGAAAATGAAAAATCAAGCCTACCCAAGAAAATAAAAATAGAATCGAGGTTCAAGTCTTACAGCTAGAAGCTTGTATTCGCGTGTGCCCGAAAAAGTAGGATCAAGTTCCTACACAAGCAAGTACAATCTGGTTAACAATATTGAACACTTAGAACAATGACTTCAACTACCAAACCAAGAAACATACAAACCTGATACCGTTCTAATGCGTTTGTAATTGCAACAACATCACCTTTACACAATTGGCAGATGCCAGCATTAAGGAGAATTCCCTTAACACCATACTTAAGAAGATTATTATTGATCGAGTGTCGTGCAATTGCTTCATATATTTCAATTGCCTTTGGGTATCTGCAGAAAATTAAAGTGTCAAATCCCAATGTACACAACTGTAACAGAATTCAAAGAATCCATAATGACAGCTGAACATTAATTCAGAACTACAGATAATTTAAAACTAGTTATTGCACATGTATATAGGATATTCTACAAAGAACATAGACGATATGAACGGCAAAAGCCCCACTGTCAAAAGATATAAGAGGAGACCATCAATGATCAATACAAGGTGAAACTAACTTCAATGTTGTAGGTACCGAGAGGTCCTAGATAATGAAATATACAGCAAAATGCCAGATGTCAAGGTATCTTCCCACCAGAAAGAAGTGACAGTCAAACAACTCCCTGGATGAATAGAATGATTTTGTTTATATTGGTCGAAATTCTGAGGCTAGCATCACATTTTTGTGAGAAAACCAGTGTGTTAAATGTTGCAATATAGGCTACACGGTAAATGAGAATGTTGTGACAGATGGAGACGACTGTTTATCTTTAATGATGACAAAAACAAGTTACATAATTAAATAACATGCCAGCCAACATTGATGGCAGAGCATTAGCTAACTTTGGTATATCAATACGAGCATTAGGGTTTTGGAGCAGAATAACTGCATGCCTGCATCTCACCACAATGAGAATGCAACAAAAAGGTGATAGCATATCATTATTCTTTTATGTCTAGATGACTCAGTCAACCTATTTTCTTTTTATCCTCAGAACCTGATAGGAACCTTAATAAATGCAGTAGTTAACAACTGAAACTCAAAAATATGGTCATGGGCTGTCATATTCAGCAAATCCATCTTTGAAGGATATGTATTAGCAACAGAGAGGTTTATATTATCAATCCTACTTGCAGGTCAGAAGACAGTTTCCTCCAGCTACATAGTCATTATTTAATCTGAAAGAATAAATAAAAAGTAATAGATCAAGGACTTCGTTAAACTTACTGTTCCAGCTGAGCAGCAAATTGTGCAACCTTTTGGTTGCATTGATTTGCAGAAGTTGTCACTTCCTCACTTTGAAAGAGATCAGCAGCCCGCTCAAAGTAATCCATAGCCTTCTCTGGATTCTGTTCTTGCTCATATAACTCACCAAGTTCCTGTGAAATGAAGATGTGGGTGTTCAACAAAAGAAATTTAAATATCTAAAAGGGCATGTTTTTATATATGCAAATTACTGCTAACTTAAATTAATAGTACAATCACCTTTATAAACCTTTAATGTCTGATCTCATTCTATTCCAGGCACACAATTGGAATGGGAAGCATGAAAGTAGCACAATCACCTATATGAACCTTCATTGCCATCTCTTCCAGGCACAAAATTGGAATGGGAATCATGAAAGTAATGCAATCATCCTTTATGCCATTCTATCCCGGGCACACAATTGGAATGGGAATCATGAAGTGGTGCAATCACCTTAATACCATTCTATTCCAGGCACACAATTGGGATGGGTTTCATGTTGTGTTGATGGCAACAGTATGTTGGCCAGGTATTGAGCCTATGATGCTTGTCATGTATCAAGCCAATGTTAGCATGAAAACCCCAAACATTGTTTCAAACCTCAATTACTATATCTACCAATGTATGCATATCTCATAAATTTGACAAAGAAAAGTTTACAATTTAATCATTGTAATGCTAAACAAAGTCTAAGGCAGAAATTCCCCATGGAAGGTCCATCACCTTGCAGTATCTTGCAGCCATGTTTAATCTACCAATCTCCAGAAAAAGGTTCACAGCTTGGTTTAATGATTCAGCAGCATCTGCAGAAATTGAACATGTTTTGAAGGTCAACAGAGAAAAGAAATAATGTAAATTGCCTACCTAGTATTCGATATTTACAATAGAAAAGGATGTTTTATGAGAATAACCCATAAATGAAAATGATTAAGTGGTTGCCCAAACTTTGTGACAATTCACAGGAATGTTGACAAGTAGACCTCAAAAACAGAGAAGCTGTCCATTTAGTTCTTGGACAAAGAAAAAACTTTGTTATTTCCTTTACCGATCAGATCCACTTTGGAGTGGATATATGCTAGTGACTAGATATGCCAATCTATTCCTTGTTTTCCAATGTGGGACTAATTGGCTACCACATAAAATTGACAAATCTAGGCATCATCTTCTATTAAAGAATGCGACCTGAATTATGGTCTAATTGGTTGACAGAATTGGCGTGCCTCTACTTTTGATCTTCTGTTAACGATAATGCTTGAAACAATTATATTTCTAAAACAAGATCTCACGTTTAGACTTTCAGAACTATCTATAAGTAATTGAGTTTAGATGTTGTGATGATGACATCACTTATCTTTAAAAAATGAGTGACACAAAATATTTGCTAACATTAGGCAAAACTATGTTTGAAAGCTCAAGTACACACCTTAGCATCTGAAAAAGGAGACAATTTCCCCATACAAAGCAGAGTCTATGTTGACAAGACCGCATATGTCCAGAGTAAAGATAGTTTATTACAAAGTCGATAGAATATAGCCCTTGGATGTTATGAGGACTTAGGTAATATTTCCTCACATGAGAATATACCTTGAAGTGAGATTTTCTTGTAACAATTTGCTGCATTTACGTAAGTTGAGGCAGCTTCATGCTTGCTATCTAACTGCATCATGAAATCAGTATGAAAAACATATCAATATCTGAAGCTATCACATGTCCTGAGAACCAACAAGATACGCAACCTTCAAATGACAGTTAGCAAGTTTGGTATACACTGATCCAGCTCTCTCCCCTGCAATACCAATGTGCAAAAATATTAATTAAGAACCATTGCATCCCAAAGTTGCTGGTTTGATCCTTATTAATTATCATGAAAGTTATTGTACATGAAACAAAGACTGTTTGATGTGTTCTCAAGACCAATATCATATTCTGTATGTTTCAAGACTTGGCAATGGGAAAATAAGGGGCGATGAACTTTGTAAAATGGTAAAGATCATAACAATAAAGCAAAATTGAAACATCAACTCATTTCAGTCGTGATTGGCTGATGCACACAGAGATTAACTGAACATGGCCAAATTCAACTGATTCAACCTGACTCCAGCCGATTTTAGTTAATGATGAAAATAATCTTCAATGCAGGTTTTCAACTTAGATTTTAGTGTTTATTTCAGCAATTGTATTACTTGGATAACATACATTTTCTAAATTTATTTAATTGGATTAGTCTCTGTTTGTTTTTTTAATCTTGAATCAAACTCTATCTTAGCAAAAGGTTTGTTAGTTGCTTGACTAGGCTAGGTTAGATCAGTAACTTTATTTTCTTTTTCACCGAATATGACCAGTTTATATATGATCTGATTTATATAGTCAGATTTCAAGTCAATACAATGGTTCTGTAATTTCTACAGCACAAAATTTGCAATCCTACATCTGATCAGGGTGAAAACATATGCAACCTTATTTATAACATGTCGAAAACAATTTCCAGAAATTATTTTTCAAATCTAAACCTACAAGGATCAAGAAAACAGCAATTACACCATCATGCTGTTCACCTGCAACAGCACCTTCTACACCAATGCGCCATGACCTACATCACAAAATGGATCATCCGTTCCTAAAAACATGGTTATGCAGGTCAACGAAATGACATCCATTGCAACGAAAGTAGAAGCATGCAGATTACCCCACATCTGCATGATGCAGATTACGACGAATAGTCAACATCTAAAGAGAGACTAATAGCTGTCGAGCATTCGATTTGCGGCCGGAATCTAAATAGGAAGCAGAATTAACACCGAGGGGATTGGAATCCAACTAACCCCACAGACAAATGCCTTAACACAGTTAACTCCGAATCAGAAACAAATCCAGATTGGGATCATTTCATCGTCCAAGAACTTCTACCGGATTCAACTTGATTTCAAAGAATCAGATTCTCCTAAGAATGAGAAGGAAGAGATCGACCTACATGACCGCAATGGCTACCGGAAAAGAGAGAAAGAGGGAGCACATTACAGTTCTTGGCGAGCTTGAAGAAATTGGCGGCCTTGTCGAACAAATCGGCCGCGTCGTCGTACTTGGATCCGAAGATTCCCCATCCGGCGAGCTTCTTCTCCGCCTTCTGCTCCAAATCGTCGCCCTTCGCCGTCTGATCCGCCATTCCTTCTCCGATCGTTCGCCTTTGGAACCCTTCTGTCATTTGTTCCAACGCGGAGGGCGGACTATATATAGAATCGGAAACGGGAAACTGTGCGCGACGACGGTTTGTTTTTTGTTGTGTGTTTTGACGTTTTTGTCCTCTCAAAGCTTTGAAATAACATATTTATTATACACATAAAAAAATTAATGAATAAAAAGAGAATTTGACACCATCTAATATTATAATTTGATTATCACTAATCCAAATCCAACATATATTTTAACATGTGAAAAATAATTAAGTTTAATATAATAATTGTATATGAAATTAAGAGTCACATGATTGGATAGTCATAATTTTAAAGTTAATTCAATAAATATCATATAATTTAATTTATCTATAATAATTATATTTATCCATAGATTAAGAAATAAAAAAAATCATCAAAATTATGAGAATGAGAATTCATCAAAGGCAAATAATTGATATGAATCGCTGTTGGATCGATGACGACAAATGATGACTTATCAATCTCCCATAAACTTAGTAAGAAATTAAGTCTACTTGGACTAATGGCATATTTGACTCGATAATCCTAACTTGATTCATCGATAAAAAAAAAATAGAAAAATCAATAATCACTATTAGAGGCTTCTTTCAAGTAGATAATTTATTATGAATCTTTATATACGATTGATGATGATAAATGATGACATATCAATCTCTCATAAACTCAACGAGTTAACTCCATCTTATCTATTGGCATATCTTATTGACTCAATAATCATTATTTTAAACTTAATTCAACATTTATCTCTATTAAACATATTTTATTTCATATTAATTAAAAAAAATTTTAATATAAGCCCTTCTCATGAAATGATAAAATTGTAAGGACTCATCAAAGGTAGATAATTGATCATGAATCTTTGTGTTCAATTAATGATGATAAATGATGACTTCTCAATCCCCATAAACTTAATAAAATCTATTAAGTTAACTTATTGTTAACTTATTATTGAATTTGATGGAGATTGATAAGTCATCATTACTATCTTTTTAGGAGAGGAAGTTTAGTGATAAAATATTAGTTCTCCCGTTGCAAGATTAAATATGCTTATTAGAGACAAAACTTCATTATATTGTTAAATAATACAATTAAAATCACAAATATTAATGAATAGTATGAGTTAAGAAGAAGATACGTAAATATTTTATAATACATACCGTAACATTAAATGTAAAAGGACATTTGAAAATACTTATTATCTTAGATGGATGTATGTGTAATTTTGTATCCTACAAGCGGCTGCGATCGCAAGTCGCGCGAACCTTCCAGCGCAAGAACGTCCATTCCTTCGCTTCCAAGAAATTGGACCGAGACACCGCGGTTCAAATCAAACATAGCAGATGGACCGGTCCATTGCCATTTCAACATATTTAGCTGATTTCATATATTTAGAACATAATCTTGTCATAGTAATTTGAAACTTTATTTGTTTAAAAAATTTATTTTATTTTGTATTATTACGTAAGAAAAATCTTTGATTTATTTCGATCGAAAGGGTTCATTCGTCATCCGAATCATAAAAACGAATTGAAATTAAATCGGGGTTATCTGAATTTTTGACTTAGATGTTATGAAATCAATGCGATCGATCTATGAGAAGCTCTAATGAGGAGATGATGGTAGTAAGTTGATATGATTAAATTCGATGGTCAACACATGCAATTTACGAGAATAATCAATCGAGACTTGACACGTAATATCTAAATTGATCGTAATAAACAATTGGTTAGATAATAATGTGTGTGATGACATCGTGTTACTTAAGCTCAACGTAATCGATGATGATGTAGCATCATGCAAGCATATCCGATTAAAAATGAAAGATCCCTTCTAATACGACACATATTAGGAACCTATCATTATTCATAACTATATCAGCATCCAGGACAATACACCTCAGTCAATACTATTCCTGCAAAGGCAAGGTAGTACCAATGAAGCACAGTGTCATCCCGGAAAGGTCGAGACGACGTCAAGTGAGTACCACGCTGACCCACAAATGCCAGATCGGCACGACGTCGACCCGCAAAGGCGGGGACGATGCCCACTCAGCACAATTCCTCTTAATGCGACGTCGTCCCGCAAAGGCTAGGATGGCATCGATCGTATATCGTACCGTCCCGTAAAGGCCAGAACGATGTTGACCGTGCACGACACCGATTGTGCACAACACCAACCAAGTACAGCGTCGACGGTGATAAACAACCCAGGTATGATTGATTCTCACGATGGGAAGATAAAAATCCCTTGAGGGGTCCTTAGTGTGAGAGTCCTCTCTGGCCACTTAATACTAACAAGATCTTCGGAAGGGTCAAGGTCGAGAGCCCCTTCCCGATCCTGACCTTTGTGCAGGAACCAGAGCCCAAGGAGCAAGTAGTTAATCCCAAGGAGCGTCCGACTCGGAAGCCAGAGCTTGAACCCAACCCACTGGAGACGAACGATCTTGCACATCCTGGGCCGAACTAAACCATGCCAGCTCGCTCTGCCACAGTGTAAAGGATCACTATCACCTTCAAATATGTTCACCATTGAATATTCACAGACTTTCTTCCCAAATTATTTATTAATTAAGTATCGTACTAACATTGTCGTGAATATTGTTTGCTCATAAAGGATCTATTTTCAAGAAAACGAGACGGAAAGATGCGATAATTTCACTCTACACTAAGAATGGTTAAGAGTACATGAAAGATATTGCAAAAAAAAAAACCCTTATCGCTTCTTAATTATCATAATAGCCATTTTTATATTAGAAAGATGATTGACAAGAAGTTGGCAATGGAGTCCGACGACTGAGAGACTAAGAGATCATTCATCTACATGAGTCAAATCTCCATGCCAATGGTTGGAACTTTGATGACCATATAAAACAGTAGTGATAGAAGACTTAATTTGGGCTTATTGACTCAAGAAAGTATTATATATGGTTATTATTTAATATAATATCAACAAGTCACTATTTAGAGGGGCAAATCCAAATATAATTATTAAGGTATTTTTTCCTTGGATTATAAATTCAATTAAAAGTACATAAACTTGTATGTCACTTTAAACTCTTAACTTTATGGATCAGTCTATAGTGTGAATCAGTTCAATTTTCAGTCATAATATTTTTTGAATAGAATTATTTTATAACTAATATATTGATTGTTTTTGTTCCAAAACAAAGATAACTATTTAAAATATTTTCTTTTTTATATGAGTTAGTTTCTGTTGGGTATTGAGTTTATTTATCTCAATTATAATATTTTTTTGATTGACTTATAATGTTTGATGAAACTATAAGGCATGATGTAACTGATATAGAAGTTTCACCATTTAATTGTTCTCATTCCTAAACCAATAAGTATGCCTATTTGAAACTCTGTTTTTAGATAGATGAACTGATTTATATTAGATTTTGAGTTATTTACTTTAGTTTTGTCTATTAAAAATATTATAATTGATAATATAAATTTCATTAACAGATTTACCATCTATCTTTATTTAATACTGTTCCATTTATCTCAGAGGACATTTCAAATATTACAATAAATGAGTGGCACCCTTTGGGAAATATGAAAAAGAGATATCCTCTGAAAAGAAAAATAAATCTTAAAAATATTAAGTTTTTCTCGAAAATTCACCGAATATATATATATATATATAATAATAATAATAATAATAATAATAATAATAATAATAATAATAATAATAATAATAATAATAATAATAATAATAATAATATTCGAATCCGATTTTATCCGAATATTCTAAAACCATTATTGGAGGGTTCACTTTTCTACGACAACAAAGCGGCAGTTCACCACTTTTGTTACCTTCGTTGTTACTGGAGGTAGCGGTGGTACCAGAAAAGGGACCCACTTCTCCTGATCGATCAGGCCTGGTATTCTTTCGCTCAGCAGAATAAAAAGGACAATGAGGCGGAGGCCGTGTCGGTATGTGTGGTGGAGGTGACGAGGAGATCCACTCGATCGCGCCACTTCATAGAGATAGGGAGGAATCGATGACCCTTGGCGGCTTCCTCTCGCTTCGCCAATCGTGCCCGTCCTTCGCCGCTCCCATCGATTCCAGGAACGGGGCAGCCGCCGCCGCCGCCTCCAATCCCCGCGCCCTCCGGTTCCGTCACAAGTCCTTTCCGCGCGCCACCTACCTCCGCGCGCCGCGTCGGGCCATGGATCCTCCGCGATGCCTCGGGTCCAGTGGCCTAGAGGAGGCCACGGACGATATCGCGGCGGCCGCGACCCTCCATCGTGGCGTTCCTTCGGACTTGGTTGAGAAGATGATGTACGATGCTCTCGTTTGGAGCGCCCTCCACGGTCTCGTCGTCGGGGACAGGCGCGTCCAGGTCTCGTCTCGGTTTTCTCCACGCTGAAATTTGTGTTTGCTTTTGCAAGATGAAATCTTTGTCTCCCTTGCTGTTTGGTTCTCTGATTATTATTAGTTACATATCTTCAACGAATTCACGCCTCAGTTACAAGACTTCATCTTTTGTTTCCTTTTACAATGCCATGATTTCTCACATGTTAGGTTATATGATAATTCTTTGTATTGTGAAGGTTTAACCATTTGTTCTCCCTGTATTACTGTAAGAAAAAGAAGACAACGAAAGATGGTGATTGGAGTGATCGCACTTCCTCATAGATAAACATACTTGTCGAGTAGACTGTAAATTCACCCAGTTTGTGTTCATAATCTTATCTTCCTTTTTATTCTTTTATCTTTTTTCAGATTAGACACGTCCATTGGGACTCAGTATAGGAGAGTGCGTTGCAGAATAAGTGCCAATTTCTGTTCATGTTGACTTCGGATGAAATCTTACTAGGCTTTCGTTGCAAAAAAGTAGAAGATTCTGCAGTATATTGATTTCAGCACTTTCCTTTTGTTGCGTTAGAAAATTTTTTTCGTGAATCTTGATTATTATGTGAACCGTGTATGCTTAACAAGTTTTCTCCCTTCACATTCCTGATAGGATTTAA